GGTGGCTGGCCTTTGGTACGGCTCAGTGCCCAACATCTTCCTCCCCTTAAAAATCAGGTGAGCAGCATAAGCCCAGCCACCTGGGGATGAAAAGAAGATAAATCAATAGATTGCCTCAGGCATGGTGTTGGCTGTCATTAATGCAGGAAGGGGAGGGGAAGGATGGGGTGATTCACAAGGTCCTCAGTGAAGCAACCCAACCCCATCTCCAATTGCCAGCAGAGAGAAAAGACTGAGAAAGGAGCTGATTGCCCAGAGCAGACATTGACCCCAAAAAGCAACAGTAAGAAGCCCTCAGCACCTACCAGGTCCTCCTGAGTGCCCCAAGATCTCTCCAGAGCCGGGGCATTTGGGGGAAAACCTTGGGAAAACCCATAATCTGTCCTCTTCGTTTCTGCTATCACTACCAGCTTACTCTGGGTATGATGGGCACCTTTATCTGCAGTCCCCAGCTCCTTATCTTTAGGAACCAGAAGCATCACTTCCCCTCTCTGCCCCAAGCAGGGATGCTGAGCCCAGATATGGATCCCACAGCCCCCAGCTGTGCTGGGGTGACCCTGTGCAAGGACAGGAAGGTGGGGGGCACCTGGGACAGCCCCAAAGCCTTTGGCCAACTGGTGCGTGGTGTGGGACATTCCTGTCACCACGGGATGGTGGTGCCAAGGAAATGGGGAGCCCCAAAACACGGCTCTTGGGGACTCCATCCCCAGTGAAATCCAGCCCTGGCATATCCTGCTTCTCAGGGGCCATGGAGCCAGCAAAGCAAACACTCACAGAGAGCTCTTGAGCTGTGTCAACAAACAAGCAAATAAAAGATGAAATAAATCTTCCAGGTGTGCAACATTTCTATTTAAACATCTATTGGGGCTGGAGTTGCTCCTGACCCCACGCTGTCTGTGAGCTCCCTGTCCTGCGAATCCCACGCTTGGGGGGGGGGGGGGGGGCACCCCAGTTATTGCTTTTTCTCTCTGGGGTTAGTCAAAGTGGAGGCCTCAGCACAGCAGGACGAGGTGAGCGAGGCAAAGCAGCAAGGAGAAGCAATCAAGGCTTTGTGCCAAAACCCTTCAGGCTTTCAAAGGACGAGGGTTTGGCCATCCCTGGGAGATCTTGGGCGTACAAAGAGAGGCCGAAGGCCAAAAGAGCCGACCAGACAGGGAAGTGAAAGAGCCCGAGATAGCACAGCATCCGTCCCAGCGGGCTTTCAGTAATCACAGCTGCTTTCGCTTCTCCTCTGCACTCTGATAGTTCCTTTGCAGGCGGGTTTTGGTTCCTCCCCGTGCCCCCTCCGCCTTCCTCGTTTCGAGGCTGAGCCCTCAAACCACTTCAGCCTTTATTTCCAGTTTCTAAACCACAGAGGTGCCACCAGTTCCCATGCTCTGTGCTGCTCTCTGCCTGGCCCCGGGATCTGCATCCCCGAGGAAGATGCGATGGGGGATGCGATGGGGATGCTCCTGGGAGAAGGAGCAATGCTTCCTTTGTGAGAAAAGCAAGGATACTCTTAGGGCAGGGCTATCTTTCCAAGCAGAACAAAGATGGGTAATAATAGAAGGAAGAAAGGGGTGAGGAGTTTCTCAGTGGCATCTGGCTTTTCTAAGAGCTTCGACTTCCAAAGAAGCAAATCACAGCCAAGTCCATTCCCAGGCTGTGAGTCAATGAATCACTGAGACAAACACACCACATCTTCACCTCCATCTTCCATTCCCAGGGCACGCACCACGGATGGGAACAGCCCCGAGCTGCTGCTACGTGCCTGGGTTCCGCCCAGACCCCCTCTCACAACTTCAATAGAACCATTTTCTTTTATTTTGCTTTGAAGAATCGGCATAACAAAACCCAGCATCGGAACCAAGCGTGGGCTTTGTTCTGCTTTTGTTAATTTTAGTGCCCACGCATGCAAACGATGGATGAGAGTCAATATTGACATTCCTCCGCAGCAGGCAACCGGGTTCATTGACTGCAGTGGGGCTGGGCTTCACATTCACACCCTGAGCGAGCAGAGAGCAGAAGGAGCTGCAAAATCACTACCATTCACATGGCAGCAACCTGACCCCAAAAGCTGCCTACCGAAGGCTGGTGGCACCAGGTGGAATGAAGAAGCCCTGCGCTCGGAAGTCCCCGAGCATCACTAGTAGGGAAGGGAGAAGAAGGGACTTCCCAGGGTGGATGGGGAACCCCAAGCGTTTTGTGCTGTGGCCGAACCTGCTGCCTTTATAAAGGGGTGTTCGAGCCCAAGACTGAGTTGCAATGCAGTCACAGCACAGTTGATGCTTGTCTAGGATCTGGGCTCCCTCCCATCGCATTCCTTGGTGCTGACGTGGTTTGCTTTCTTCCCCCAACCTTATCGCGCTGCGGTTTGTGAACTGCAATTTTCCAAAGCCATAAAGCAGCCCAGTGCAAAGGAAACCGACTGCACACCTGAAAGCTGCTGCTGTTCCTCAGCCCTGCTGGAGCTGCCCCAGTCCAAACCCTCCACAACGCTGGTGGAGATGTTACACGGAGCCAGTGGGGCTTAGGAACAGCATCACCCCTGTGGCCAAACCTCTGGCAGCAAGAGGAAGCACCTAAAGCAGAGCAAAACAGCTAACAGAAGACACCAGGTGTGCTCTCCTTTAGGGGACTGGATTTTGTTCCCACCAAATGGGGAGCAGCAACCTGAAATGGGGTTTGTCCCCCGAGGCAGCCTGTCTGGTTCTCGGGGTCAAAATAATCAGGCAACAAAACTCACCAATGAGCACAAAGGGATGCTGACCTCAGTACAAGATATAGGTCTGAGAGACCACCGCCTCATAGTCTTTTGGTGACTGGACCTAAGGAGACGTTGGGAGGGAGGAATGCAAGCGATGTGTGGTGTGGATTCAGCTGTCAGTCCCTTGGGAAAGAGATCTATCACCTAATGAACCCCCTACCATGCAATATCAGCACCATGGCACTCCTCTGGCCCCTTTGGGGTGCACATCCAAGCCCAAGTGATGGGAAAGACTTGTAGGACCAGGGTGCTGCCAGCAAGCTGGCCAATGCCCAAAACACTCTGTCTGAAGCTGGGTAATCCTTAAACAAAGCACCGTGGCATCTCCGTCCTCCTCCAAGCCCCACCAAGTTGATGCAGTTGATGGTTCAGACTGAGCTTGGGGTGGGGGACAACGATGAATAAAACTGCAGCATGAATGAAATTGTTTGCTTTTTAGACGTTCTAGCATAGTAAAAAAAAAAAAAAACAACACCCAAAAACCATCAGGCCAACGTTTTCTGCCCTGGGGCTACTGGCACATACCTTGCCATGGGTGGGGATGGGTGGCTGTGCTGTTGGTACATACGAGATTGCTTCAGTCCTCTGCCTCCAAAGAAGAACTTAACTGTTTCTGATGTTTGCCCTGAAGGGAAGGCGGTTTTGGCAGCCCTTATCCCACCTTGTAATGCTATCACGACCTGCCTCCAACCCAAAATCACAGCAGGATCTTTCGGTGACACACTCAGCCCAGGGCACGGCATCCCTGCAGGTCAGTTTGTGCTCTACACGTCAGGCAGTTTCGAAGCCTTCCTGTCATACCCCCAGGCTCTGATCTTGTCATTGAGGCTCCATACATTTGCAGGACAAAGGACCAACCCTCCGTATTCAAAGATCTCCAAATTCTTTCCAAGCCTTAAATTAAAGCCACCCAACTAGCCCCACTGGCAACCTCTTATCTGCACTACAGGGCTATCCAACGTGGAACTCCACATCTGAAAAGGGCACTTTATCCCACTTCTGATTAATTATCACAGCTCTTGCTCTGCAGCTTAAACGCTTTACACATCCACCAGCACTGGGAGAAGCGGGTGATACCTGCCAATGTGCCTGGAGCAGCTCAGAACAGCAAGACAGATCCCAAACAGCTCAGTGCTCCCACCAAGGACGTGGTGTTTTGACTCGGCATGAGGAACACTGCAGGGTTTGTTGCATTGCCAAACCACAGGCAAGGAGGGAGGACAAACAACCCGAATACAGGAGATAGCACGGCAGAGCCCACCAGGTCCAGTTGCAACTACCACATGTTCTTCTTTGTAACGAGGAGAAACATTTGTTACAAAACTCGACCAAATACAAGAGGCATCTCTTGCACCGCCTTCAAGAAGCTTAAAGTAAAATCCTGCCCAGGGTGGAGAGCTTTTGCCACCCCAATGTGAGCAAACTCCCACAGAGCCACGAATGGTGCAAACTAGCACAGCCACAGGGAGGTTTAAACACAAAGCTGATGACCATGGGACCACCACAGCTCCTGTCAGCTCTGCTCACACGAGGCTCCTTCTCCCTGTATTCCTAGAAGCTAGAATCCCTGGCTCTCCATCAGTGGAAGAGCCAAAGTGGGAAAGTTTCAGAGGTTTTTATTTGTGTGGAATAGATAAGGAAAGCAAACATACCCTGATAACCTCTTTCCTTGCGTGTAGTAGCTTGAAGGTTGTCCTCCTGGGCAAGACGTACGTTCTGTACCATAGGCCTTAAATTTGGCTGGATCTAGTTAAAAATAAATACTGGGTCAGCAGTGCTCTGCTGCAGCAATCTGTTCAGCAGTCCCAGCCTGGTCCCATTTTCCCCAGGGACAGGCTCACATTTCCAATGGAAAGCTGGGCTGGGGGAGCCCTGGCTACCCTGGTCCACGGGTTCACACGGATTTCCCAATTTCTTCAGGCCAGATGGTTAATTTTCAAGCTGGAAAGCACTATTGTAGGCAAAGTTAGACTCTACTCCCTTGGAAAACACCCACCAGGCTTTGCACCAGGGCCAGCCTGTCTGCTTCCTGATTAGAGCACCCAGACGGGCAGGTGACATTTTGCTTCACAGTTGATATCTGCTAACAGATCCAGTCAACAGACACAAAGGACAAAGGCTAATTTGAGGATTAGATAGCTTCTCTCAGTCAGTTTTTTCCTTCTCTGATCAAAAGCAGCCCACAAGCACAACGATTTAGCAATGATGTTAGGCACAAACACCCCCAAAAAGCAATTCCTCAGGGGCAGAATTAAAAGCTCTCTTTTTTATTAAGCTCTCAGGGGAAGAACACTTTTTGGACAGTGACTCCTGCTGGAAAGGAGAAGGCAGCACAGCCAAGGACCACGCTGGAGAGCAAGGATGTCCTCACACCCACGTTCCTATTGCCAGGACAGCAAGCACACCACTCCAGCTGCCCTTGGGGCAACGCTGGGCTGGGGACACAAGGGCAATTCCTTCTGCAGCCTTCTCAGAAAGGATCACAGGTGAAACAAACGGGGCTGCTTGGCCTGGAGGAACGTTACTCCCCCTCTGTGAGATACCACGGTTTTCCCACAATAAAGAAACGTGGTCTTGGCTTAGGCTTCTAAAAGTCTGCAGTGCTGTACCACATTTCAGTTTGGTACCAGCTGGAACACAACCGTTTCTCTCCTTCAGTTGAGCTGCAGGGACACACGCCATCTCGACTCGGTTTCCTGTCGGTTTTATCTCTGAATTGCCAGGAAGGCAATTCCCATGGCAAGCAATCAGCTCTGTGCTGGCAAGCCCCGTTCTTCGAGGATCCTTCTCACGCTCTCCACTATGGTCCACACTTCTGCCATGGCTCCACGACCTGCAGGGCAAGACCAAAGGCTCATGGTGAAAGCACGTCCCACCCCTCCTCTCCCGCACATTCAGCCATGTTGCAATAAAGTTGATGCCCCATAGCTCTGCAAGGCCAGGGCAAAAGCTTGCAAAGTATCCCCATGTTTCCTCATGATTCAGCTGTGGGGGCAAGAGGATCTGCTTGGTCTAGCTGGTTGGGCAGGGATTTTGTGGCATGGTTGGATGCCATCAAGGGAGGAGTGCTCATGCTAACTTAGCTTGGCTCGCAACTCACAAGTCTAAGCAGGAGCACAAGCTCCTCAGACAGTCAATGGAGAGAGGCAGGAAACCTCAAAAGGCGACTCATATGACCTTAATAAGTACCTCATGTTCTGAATCATCTCCAAGGATGTCTGTGCCTAACCCTTGCACAGGGAGCTGGTATCTCAGCTCGCACTGCCCTGGGGGTAAGTGTGCACAAGTGACCAAAACAAAGTGCGTGGGTAACAAAATATCCTACCTCCTTCCTCCACTGCAAACAGCATGGTAGGTATTATTTTGAAATAACCCTTGCCTATTAAAAATAACAAAAACAAAACTAAACTTGACTTCATACCATTCCAGTGACTCCACAGTTAGGCCCACATTAGAGAGAAAGCTGCTCTGGATTTGCACCAGCTTGATTCTTGGGAGTAATTCTTGGAGAAGACTGTGTGCTAAGCAGAACAAAATGTAAAAGCTTTTCCTTTTGGACTGCTTAGTTGCCAGATGAACATCTAAATCTACGCTTTGCTCCCAAACACTTTTTTTAAACCTAGAATGAAAACTTCAAGGTCAGAGACCACTAAATCATCTTACCCAACCTCATGCATGCACAGAAATCAGGCCACTCGCTCCTGATACCTCCCCACCAGCATCTGTCTCCGTTAGAAGATTCAACAGACAAGAGTCTCTACTGGTTTTTTGTTTTGCTGGCTAATTTGCTGTAATTATTTAAACCAGGAGCCCTACTTGTTGTTAGAAATTAGCTTGGGGAGCTTTTGTTTTCTTCATTTTCCTCCGATTCACTTACACAGCTGAGTTAGCGAGTGCACAGACAAATAGTGAAACCAGCAGGCTCCGAAGGACAGTTACAACTGGAGGACAGAGATGGAAGAGGGAAGGCCATATTGACAGCAGAGAGCTGTGCTCTGCAGGCAGATCACTGCACTGAATCTGACAGGACCTTGAGCTTCCCAGTACAGACGAGCCACCTGAGCCTTGCCTGGGACAGAAGGCATAACTGGAGGCAGTGGTGAGGAGTTGGGATGAAGTGCGATGCTTTTGGAAAGACAAGAAAATTGAGTTTCCCTACTTAGTGAGAATTTCCATCATTTTCAGGCCTGTAAACCCTGTGAGGTTTGAAGCACCCCACAGACAAGACGCAGGAAGATGGGGGTGGCTCTTGCCTCCTGTTCTGAGAGGAGCTGCATTTGATGCATCCTGCTAAACAAAAGAAATTCCCCGAATGCACCCTCATGCTTGGCAGAAGGACACCCTTAAAGAGCACTTCCAAGGTCTGCCTTCATCCTACACAACTCATCTTCTCAACATCTTTGGCAATCGACAGCACACGTCGTGCCTATGGGTAAAAATTCTTCCCCTGTGCCAGGCTCCAGAAATTCAGCCAAGGATGAGGAAGATACCAGCAGTTTGGAAGTGTTTTGCAAGGATAAATTGCTGCAGGCCTGCATGTGGTTATGGCACCTCTCAGAGCTCTCCTTATATGGTGGCACATGGATACCACCAAAGCCAGCAGCCCTCAGGTTACATTTAACTATCCAATCGAGGAAACATTTTAATTGGCAACAAGATTGAATCTGTTATTTTAACTCTTTTTCAGCTGGACTCTATGTCCAAAACACCTGCAGTGTCTGATGCATGGCCTTAGATGTGAACGATCCAAATTATTCCAAGCTCTCACATCACTTACATACATTCACAAATTGCCTTTTCAAGCTTTCCTATCCACCCTCACAACTTTCCCATCCACCTTTGCATGTCAACAGAGCATGCTACAAACGCTCCATAACCGTGCATGTGGGTGCTTATCCAGCCAGAGCCATGAGCTGTTCCTTTTGCTTTTTCTCTCCTTCTAGAGGTGTCCTTGGTTCTCATGCTGTTTATCCTGCTCCACAGCTGCTGCTCTGAATAGTTTTTCTTGTATTCCCAACAAACACCCACTTACTATGGAAGAAACGTGGTTGTAATGTGGGAACATGATGGCAGTCACTTCAGGTGAGATCAGTTGCATGAGTGGTAGAAGATGAGCCTCACTCAACAGCAAGTTAAACCACAGTGTCAACAAACAAAACTGATGCAAACTGAATCTCTTTTCTTTGGCACCAGATGTGCGCTTTGCTATCGGGCCAGTGGAAGGCAAACCCTTTAGTGGATAAAGCTCGCAAACCAGAAATTAGTGTGGAAAAAGAGGCTTTGGGGAAAAAGGCCTGGAAAATAAAAATTAAAAAAAAAACAAACAAGAGGAAGATGGGAAAAAAAAGTCACAGGTGAAGAGAATCTTGTGTTTTCAGAGACCTGGAGTGCATTACTGCTCTGCTACAATTCTCCTACCTGCTGCCAGGAAAACCCTGGCATGTGCCAGCAAGAAAATCTTGCTGCAAATTGACTCACAAGCATAAGCGAAGCCGAGTCAGATGTGGCTGCTCCTGCCTCAGCTGCCCTACCATCCTTCTCCTACAGGCTCCTCTGGGAGTTCATTCTCACAGCGGGAACATCTGAACTACACACAAAGCAGCTCCTAAATGACTGTTGGTGTAATGAGGTAACTCCTGATTTGTACTGGTTTTGGCTTTGCCATTCTGAGCTACAAACCACAGCAATGGACATGCTGCTCCTCACGTGGCCACGCACCGCTGATGCAAGGGCAGCGACTCCAAGGAACGGCAGGGCAGAGCAGCAGAAAGCATGTTCAGCATCCAGCTCAAAGCCATCTGCACCACTGAGTCAACACACACAGCCCTCCTGCATCTCAGATCCCCATCTGCCAAACAGGGCTGACACAGCAGCTCTGCTTCAGGTGCGTGGAGCTGTGCGAGCAAGAGCATCACTCAGAGGTGCTCCTAAGTTTGCTACAGAAACAGAGGTCCTACACAAGTACTAAAAAAGATAAAGGAAAAGCTCCAAGGGACAAAGAAGCTATGCCAGATGGCCTTTCCACTTCTGCCAAAATGTCTGCACAGAATGACCTCCTTTGGGCGTTTTCCCTTAACATTATTACAAGCACGCAGGAAATTTGATGTAATCAGGTCTAAAACCCCAGAGGAAACATAATTGTCCAGTACAGTTACAGCTGATGCCTGAATTACTTGACTACACTTACCTAACTGTAAATATTTCTAAGTTGTCAGCTCCAGAAAACATTCTCTAAAAGCACTGCATCTACCCAAGAATTCAGACACTAAGAAAGCCAGGCCCGGAATTTAACCACAAAAAACATGTTAGCATCCTGTCTTCACACAGCCATTCATCGAGGTATCCAACAGGGTGGTTAAGATCCTGCTGTTGTTGGGTTATTAGATGAAGGAATGAGTGCAGTACTGTGCAGGTAATAACACATTTGCTATTATGGCTAGAATTGGGCGACGTTTTACAGACAAAACGTCCACAAAAGACTAAGTTAAAGAAGTGAAACCATTCATCCAAACTGCTGGTATAAAAAAACGTCCCAAAACCTCCCAAAAATCAAAACGTGTTCATTTAAGCCAACTGCTAGAGTACAAATGAGACCATTTCACTTGGCACTGTAAGTCTGAAAGTTGGGCACAACAAGTTTTCTTACCCCTTCTCTCACTTCACAGACAAAGCTGATGTCAGAGCTCCAAATCAAAATGAGACTGTGAAGCTGATCTAGCTGAAAAGTAACCCAGGCAACAAACAACAACAAATGGTAAATGTATGTCGTTACACCCTCAGCCACATCTGCAAAGTGCTAATCCTCTGTGTCTGCTCTGAGGGATAAGATATTATCCCCACGTCAGAGATGAGGAGCTGAGGCACGGTGGAAACAGCCCACGGTCTCAGCAGAGGGCATGGCTGGGACACCCGAATCCCAGGCTGATAATGCTCACCACAGAGCCTCGCTTCTCTTTGATCTGCTCTCTTAGAGGATGGGTATTTCTTTTAAGCATCACGCCTATCTACCAGCTTGCTTTGAACTAGAGTAATAGGTGTCAGCTAGCACAGGGCAAAGCTTCGTGTTGTTTGTACAAACCTTGGCCATGAGCACCTGCTCACTGCAGTCTAACATCTGGAAGGTCACAGAGCAGAAGAGCAAGGCACCTCCCTTCAGCGTAAGAGGAGCACTGGGGCAACAAAACAGTCAGAAGACATGCAGCAGGACTGACCTTCATCCCCACACACTAGTTTCTTCACCACACATGGGATCTCTGTGTAGCCAAAGCCTTTCAGCTGCTCCACCTGCTGAGCTGTGATGGGATGCTCCCACATGGCCGTGTTCATAGCCGGGCAGAACAGCAGGGGTTTGTGCAGGTCCCAGGCACGGATGACACAAGTCTGCAAAAGAAGCCAAGAGATTCAGCTCTGAGGAGCGTTCTTTTTCATCATCCCTTTGCTCACTTTCCTGCACAGAAGCACTTTCCCTCTCCAGGTATCACGAGACAGCCAAAACATCCATCAGTGCAGCTGGACGAGCCTGTAAGCAAGGCCACAGGGCTGCTACTAATGCATGCTGCATTCCAGCAGAGCTCCTCTCTGACAGGCAAGAAGGATGAGGGAGGCTACAAAAAGAATAGATTCCATCCTACTCCGAATCAGGGCCAAGCAAACAGCCCAATCGCTGGCTGAAATCAAGCTGGAACACAATGTGTGCAGACAGCCCATGTGGGAGACCAAGAGTAGCTGAGGGGTGGCCACAGATCGTATCAGCTAAAGAGAAATCCCCAGGCAGCACTTTAGATAAGCCAGCTGTAGAGCTAAACACAAAAAGCTGGCAAGTGAACCTTCTTAAACAACACGGCCAACTGGATCCACAAGGGAAGCACTCCTACTTCCAGCATACAGAAGATAACAACAACACAGCTGGGCTGCTGCAGAAGATGCTGGTAGATTACAAACCACCTAGGAGCTCCTGCATGCTACAGAGGATCATATCTGATACCTCAGTAACGCAGATAAGCTAGTATCACCTCATCTCCTTAAAAAGAGCAATGGTGATTGCTGTTAACAGTGCAGTGCCCATCACCTCGACCTGACAGCATCTAAGCCATGCAAAGGGAGTCTCCCAGCTAGCTTGCACCAGTCCCTGGTGCTCAAGCTGTGCTCATTTCAGAATTCTTCAGAGAATTCTGCCCATCCTTTTTTATGCCCCATGATTTGAACCCTTCCCAGCACAGAGGAATCTGTTCCAACTTGCTAACAAGCACCTCCAGCACTTGCTATTCTTTACTGGAGCTACCACTTTCCCTCACAAAGCTATCCGAGATGACTGGCAGGACTTTGTGAACCCACGTGTCCCTAACACTCTTCCTGAACTCTTCCTCTGTTGGCTGCAGTACAGAGGGGTTCAGGAGGACAAGACACTGCTTGTCCCTCTCACAGCACTTTCTGACGTTTCTAGACCTCCAGAGGACTGCTCATACAATTCAGGGCTGTAGCTCTGGGTGCACTTTGCTCATCTGTAGGCATTCTTTTCTTCCTTGGACAGCTAAGCTGACCAAGCAGGGCTCTCCAGGCAGGCCTGATGTACTGTCTTCCATTCCTAACTCTAGAGTCCTTGCATTACTGAAGAGTAATGCAGCATTCACATTTTTGCAGGTTTCTGGCAGACCTTTTGGACTGTTGACCTCATGACCTTTCCTGGTGAAAGCTCAACGGATGGATGCAAAGGACCAAAGTTCCACTGAAGTTCCCCATCACTGAACTGAGACCCATGCTCTCTTTTTAAACACTCTCTGTTCAGCCTTTGATACAGAGCATTTCTAATATTTAAGAACAAGCAAAAAAACGTGTAGTTGAAAGTGTAAGGTAAGTAAGTGTGCACATGTTTGAATTTGTGCTATGCAGTTAGGTGAGGGAGGAGCTGAGGTAGCAGGAAGTAAACAGTTTTATCTGATCCCACAGGTGTCTTTCCAGATTGCATCTAAAAAATGCAGAGAGGAACTCAAAAGTGAGTGTGCGTGCATGTGTGTGTATATGCAGGACAGAGAGAGGATGGAGGTAGAAAGAGAGAAATATTAACCAACAGAAAACAGCAGGAAAGGCACGAAATAGGAACTGGGAGATAATGGAAGAGACAGAGAGAGCCCAGGAATGGAAAAGGATACAGGTAAGGCAAGGAAAGTTTGAAAAGGAGCAGGAGAACCATATTGGCAGAGGAGAGACAAGCAGCTGAGTTGGCAGCAAAACATGCAAATCTTGATGCTGCTGAAACACAAAAGTTTCCTTGACAGAAAGGTCAGACTAGTGCTGGGAAGGGAGAGAATGCAGGGACGGCCCTAGGGCAGAGCTGCAGTTAGTTACTCACCAGCAGGTTGTCACAGATACCATTTGCCAGCTTTGCCAGCGTGTTTGCATCAAGAGGGGCCACCAGCATGAGGTCAGCCCACCGCCGGAGCTCGATGTGCAGGACTGGGTCAGAACGGCCCTTCCACAGCTGCAGGTGAGACAGGATGCAGATTACCCAACCCTCACAACCAGCACTGTGAACAACAGGCATTTTGACAACCTCACCCTCGTTGAACTACAACGCAAAGCTCATTATTTTCACACCAAGTGAGATCTGACAGTGTGATGAAATCAGAGACTGCAGCCACGGCGCTCACTTTCCTGACTTCCAGCCTCCTCCAGTGAAGGCCACGTGGAAGGAGCATTTTGAATGGTGCCTATGTGCCCTGTGCTCTACAAACAATCCTTTCCCACAAAGACAATTCACACATCCAACTTCAACCTGCAGGAAAGAGCTTTCTCCATCCACATCATCCCTCAGCTTCCCAAACATCCATCCATTAAAGCCCCATTGATTTCCCTGAGTAGGGAAATCCTTGACACTGGATCAGTCAATCAAAACCAGACAGGACCACACCAGTGGAAACATTTCCAGAGCATGCCTACAGCAGCCACAGGAATACTCTGCTTGATTCTTTTTGGGAGGGACTGGGCACTTCCTTCCTCTCTTAGCTCTAGGCAAACATTTCTATTTTTCAGTAAAGCTCAGAGTTGCTCAATGGGGTCCCGGGTTCTTCTTAAGAGCACAGTTAACTGGGATAACATCAAGGAAAGCAGCAAACAGTACCAGGCACTTTAGGCCCCAGATGACACACAACCACAGGCCAGCAAGATGTGCATCAGGGCCACAAACTATTCCTTCTCTGACTCATGGGAAACCACAACAAAAACACAGCATCCGGAAATCTGGTGCTCCCCAATGCCTTTCCCAGCTCCTCCACTCACTTCTATTTTCTTTTCGACAAGTCTTTCTAGAAAACTTTCTTTCAGAATAAAACATCTCACAAACATGCTGGTCACGCTTATTTGCTGCCCTTCTGTCAGAATGGCACACTATAAAGGCTACGTGTCTTCTTTCCAGTGTGCCAGCAGACCACAAAGCCTGACCTGCACCTCCTGTATCACCCCACAGAGGGTTCCCCATAAATAGCTTTGCCTGAAGCTGTAGCACCATGAGACCCAAGAAATCTTCATGGGTCTTCTAAGACCAGCAGAAGCTTTCTGGTCAGGAAGACATTTTACACAATCTAGAGATATTCAGAGTCCTGGCATCTAAGCAATCCCTCACTGGAAGGGAAATGTGCATTGAAAGCTTCAGTTCATGCTGATGATTCTGTAGAGAAGAGCTGGAAAGATGCCACAGGCCATTGCTGAATCCTGCAGAGCGTGTTCATCCGTAACTCATCTGAGGGGAAAAACTGGTGAAAAAGGTCAAGCTGATTGCAAATTGCCTGGTAAATTCAAGGGAAGACAGATTGGACTCTTCTGTGTATGTGCACCAGTGCCTCTTGAGCTAAACACACTGCTTCCATCAGGAAAACATCTTGTACAGCCACCCATCTATCACTCTTGTGCAAGGCAGCTCCAGGTGCTGGTATTTGCTTGCTCCCCCACACTGGGGTGGCCCTGCCAGCACAAAGCTCTCCAAACAGACCCAGATGCATTACAGAACAGCTTTGTTTTTCACCCAGGGTGCAGGCAGATTTTGAAAATACAGAGCAAGAAGCTGCAAAACACAAGCAGCTTGGGTAGTTTTGTGATTGTCAGTGGTGCCTACAGATTGAGAATAGGCAGCAATAAGGAGAATTAAGCTGTTGCCTTCCTGACAAGTATGAGTCATGGCAACCACCTAACACCTTCACCACAACTTCACAGTGGCTTTCTTTGACATTTCCTGATACTCCTCTCAGAGGTGAGGGTGGCTGCTAAGCCCAGGGTGGTGAGGGACCACCTGTAGCCACACTGCCTGCTGCAAAGCCTGCTAGGTGGTAGAAAACCCCCTGCTACAGTCACGGCAGCTCCATTTAGCATGGGTGGGCCAGTGTTTTCTGAAAGCCATGCTCCAAAGCACACAGTACTACAACAAAGAAAGGAAGCCTAGCCAAGAATCTACAGCTTATTTCAAAGAAACACCCATGCTTCTAAGGGGGCTGCTCCAAAAGTTATGTCTCCTGTTTTACTATGTTGCCATCAGAAGTGGATGTTAGTGGTACAGCAGTTGAGGTTGAGCCTTCCCACCAAGATTCCATTACGTGTTGTTGCCATGTGACAGATGGCAGCAAAGGGGCACTCGGACAAAATGGCATCTGACATGGAAGTGCATGTGAAGCAGCGAATGTGTGCATGCATGAGCACATGATGGAACTACCAGCAGGACTAGAAAGAAGCCCTTGCAGACTCCTGAGGAAGAGCAACTCACCTGCCATTCATCTTCATCACTGTAGAGGGTGACGGGAATTTCCTGGGGCTTGTAGAAATGTTTTGCTCTCTCAGTAGTCACCACCTTCACTTCAAGCTAATCAGAAAGCAATGAGAGAATGTCCTGGTTTCAGCTGGGACAGCAGTGCTTTGTTTTTTCCCTTCATAGTGTCTGGTATGACGCTATGTTTTGGCTCTAGGAGAAAACCAATGTTGATAACACACCAACACAGCCAAGGATCTTTCAGTTTCTCAGCTTCTCATACTGCTCTGCCAGTGACGGGGACTGAGAGGGCACAAAGAGCTGGGAGTAGACAGAACCAGGAGCTGATCTAAAATGGCCCAAGGGATATTCCATATCAAATGACATCATGCAAAAAAAAAACCAAAAAAACAAAAAAAACCCAACAACCTGGGCATCAGTTGGCAGCTGGTGAGCAATTCCTTGTGCATCACTTGTTTTGTATCTTTTTATGTCTTAGTAAACAGTCTTTATCTCAAGCCACAAGTTCTATTTTGTTGTTTTTTTGGTTTGGTTTGGTTTTTTTTCCCCCTGATTCTTTCCCCCATCCCACTGGGAGGAGAGTAAGCGAATGACTGTGGTGCTGAGCTACACGGCAGGTTAAACCACATCAGAGAAAGGCCAACAGTTACGGCTTGAAGAAATCCTGCAAAGCTGGGTAGATGAGGAGGGTTTGAGCAGTGAAGACTTTGAAAGATATGCAGACATTCCCCTCCTGTGAGCATGTGCATAACCGCATCTATTCAGAGCTGAAAGGTCAGGCCACTGCAAGTGCTCACAGGAGCTGACGACTCTTTCCATTGCCACCTTAACACAGGCAGGTGATTAGTCACTGTCTGCCAAACTCGTTCAGATGGTCAGTTCACAGCAGGGCCAGCAAAAAGGACAGAGAAAGTCAGAAGGGAGATGCAGCTCTGCTCAGAACTTCAAAGAGACGGCAAGAAGCAGCAAACCGAAGCTCTGGGAGAGATGTCCTTTAATCACGAAAGGGAGTAGCAGAGCATCTCACCTTAGAGGATTCCCTTAGCCACTGCACAAAGGGGTGGCCTGCCAGGATCGCTCTTCCCACACTCGGAGCCAAGAGGAAGTGCAGTTCTCAGTCACAAGTCCTGCCAAGGGAGAAGCTGGGAGCTGGGGCTCAGCACTACCAGCTCAAAGCAAGCCCGTCCCTGCAGAACAAGGTTCCAGAAGAAGCAGAGGCTCCAAGCTCCTCTCACTGCCTTGGGCATTTTTGGAACAGCAGGATTTTAGTTTAACTCTGCCTACCCATACCTGTTATGAAGGATATACATCCCTGTATACCAGTACACCAAAGCACTTGGCTTTGGAAGAATGATTTTTTGATCTCCACTTCTTTGCCCTTCAGTTCTTCCCTCTGCCCTTCTCTCTAGATGTCACGAGTACCTCCTGATGACAAAAGTTGGTTTCTATACAGCCAGAAGAGTAAACCAGTGGCTTGCACAAAGGAAAAGGAGATCAGGTAAAATGTACATAAGGGTTCCTCTTAGAGAAATCTCTGAAATCTTAGATGAGCCTGCTGTCTTACTGAAAATCATCTGAAGCTTCATCTGTGAAGTATCTATAAAGTGAAGAAATCCTATCACGTCCCTTTGACATATGGCATGAACAGCTATGAGGTGCTAAGTGTGACAGGAGTTCTTCCTGTAGTAATCTTAGCAGGTGGGAAACATGGAATTTGTCCTAGTTTCTACATGTCTCATGATCTACTCAAAGTTGTACCTCTGACAAATGTTATTCTCCAGCCAGTTCCTTACCCAGGAAAGAGTACACCTGGCCAGGGCATAGGCTGCCAACTTCTCCAGAACACTGTGGGCTTTGCTAAAGACTAGGCAGACTATGCCAACAGCCTTTCTCTTATCCATCAGGCAGGTTACCCAGTTACAGGAGATTAGGTTGGTCAAGCAGGACCTGCCTTTCATGAACCCATGCTGGCTAGGCCTGATCCTCTGGTTGTCCTGCACATGCCGTGTGATCTCACTCAAGATGATCTGTTCCATAACCTTCCCTGGCACTGAGGTCAGGTTGACAGGCCTGTAGTTCCCCAGGTCCTCCTTACAATCCTTCTTGTAGATGTGAGTCACGCAGGCAAGCCTCCAATCCTCTGGGACCTCTCCAGCTGACTGAGTGCACTGACAGATGGCGCAAAGTTGTGGGAATACAAGAAAAACTATTCAGAGCAGCAGCTGTGGAGTAGGATAATCAGCATAAGAACCAAGGACACCTCTAGAAGAAGAGAAAAAGCAAAAGGAACAGCTCATGGCTCTGGCTGGATAAGCACCCACATGCACGGTTATGGAGCGTTCGTAGAATGCTCTGTTGACATGCAAAAGTGGATGGGAAAGTTGTGAGGGTGGACAGGAAAGCTTGAAAAGGAAGTTTGTGAATGTATGTAAGTGATGTGAGAGCTTGTAATAATTTGGATCGTTCACATCTAAGGCCATGCATCAGACGCTGCAGGAAGTGGCTCAGTAATCACCTCTGCCAGCTCCCTCAGCACCCTTGGGTGCATCCCATATGGTCCCTTGGATTTGCGACAGGTGGAGCAGAAGGTCTCTAATTGCCTCCAACCTGAATCGTGGGAGGTTTATTCTGCTCCCCAGCCCACATTTCCAGATCAGGGGGTGGAGTATGTTGAGGGTAACTGGTCCGACAGATGTGAAGAAGGCACTGAGAGCCTCAGCCTTTTTCTCATCCTCAGTGGCATCACGTGCAGCAGGACCAGCCACGAAGCAGAGCCAGAATCAGACTCGTTCTGCATGAGCTAATCACACGTAGATGCACATCAGACCACCATAAACGGAGCATTTCCTTATTTTCATCCCCTGTTGCTCACTGTCTGCTCCCTGACAGCTCTCTGAGCAACCCGCGATGCGGTTCTGTTAGCCCAACAGAGAGATAGGAAAAAACCAGCCTCAGCAACACCTTCCTCCCACTGCAACCAGAGCTGAAACACTGACAGAGCCCTCAGCATGTGTGCCCTCGCTTGAACAAACAGCTGAAAACCTCCAACCTCCAAGCAGCTGTCTTCAACAGCAGCGGTTGAAGTGACAAAACATGTTAACCTATCTCTCCAGCACCATCTATTCTACCATCAGGATACTCCTAAGAACAGAGCAGTGTTGATTATCTGCACCCTACACGACTAGAATAGCAGTTTGGAGCAATGGAAAAAAAACCAGGCACAGCATACCGTTGGTTTTGGCAATTTTTCCCATTTCCTGAAGAAAAATAGCTGCTCATAATATCACTCCTTAGCACTATTTTTTTGGCTTTTTGATGCTTTTAGATGTCTGCTCTTTTTTCAAGAGGCCCTAGCCTGGAATCATAGCCCTATTTCTAGAGTTTGCAAGTGTGAAGATCATATAGCGAGCAACCATGTTGTTCCTGTATTAATCTCACCTTGAAGTAAGCTGTGTGGAGCCAAGCACTGACACCCACAAAGGTGCTAACACTGCTCTCTGCTATCCTTGGAGCTCCAACGAGATGTTAACCCTGCAGTCTGTAAGATGCTATTTATCTGTTGAGCAATGTGTGGCTTAAAGGGGCTCGTCTACCCTCTGCAATTGTACCAGTAGGCCAGACCTGCACCAAAACCTCTCACCAGTAGTATTTGTTAGTGGGATTCCAATTTCACAGTTAGCCATAAAAATGTCAGGATCTTCAGGAGACACAGCTGCATCTGTATTCTGCTGGATTTTGTATCTTGCTGCTTCAGTTGCAGCAGTACTTCAACGTTTCTAACCTAGACAGAAATAGCTGGTTAAGAGGCTAAAGGGGACATAACCAAAATCCAAATTGTATTTATTTTTTTTTTTTTTAAGATAGATAAACATCTCTGGTCTGAAGGAAAAAAAACCCAAAAACAACATTCTTTAAAGTCCAGGAACAGGGAAGAGCTGGCTATTGAGTACTGCATCCAACCTACCATAACCAAGAGTGTATCAGAGAGATGTTCAAGGACTGAGCAGTGATGACTCCACCACTCCTCCAAAAAAGCTGCTCTAGCAGTTTCATTATTCTCTCTGGTTAAGGTTTTCTGCTGGGGTGGGCTCCTGGATCCCTTGTTCTCAGTGTGTGTTTCAAGTCTCTCCAGCTATGCTGGAAACAGATCAGTGCTCTCAAGATCACTTTAGCCTACATAGTTTTTCCTTCTATTTACTTGGCACACCCACTGTTTGACTGCACATATCTCTGCTTAAACAGTAAAATCTCTCTAGCCACACAGACAAATTCCTTTACTGGAGACAGTTTAGACTAGCTGGAGTCTTTGCTAGCAACTGCTGCAGAAGAGAATGAGCATCCCCTGCTGCTGAATGGCACCTACAAGCTGACACAGAGGCTACCTGGCAGGAGTGCAGTGAAATCTTATGACGTGACTCAAACTGACAAGGCCAGATAACATCCGGAAGCTTCAAGAACAATAGGTCTCACCCAGAGAAAAGTTTGCCATTTCCTTTCTTTATGACTAACTGACATTCTGGCAATGGGACTTTTTTTTTTGGCCAGTTTTTTGCCAGGCCATTCAAAAGCAGCAGGATTCCAATGGAGGCAACGCGTGTGTCTGGCACAACACCAGGAGTTGGCACAACACCAGGATGCCCTACGTGCCCCATCTCCCCACAGCAACACGTGCAAGAAAAATAACCAGAAAAGCATCAACTGATGTTGTACTGAATCCCCAGACCTTCAGAGAGCCTAAACAAAAGGCAGTAAGATGAAGTCGTGGCAGTTATCACCCTCGTGGACATGATGAAGTTTAATGAGTGCAAAAATCACACCACCAAGTTGTTCACTGAGGACCATTTAAGCAGAAACATCCATTTTATACTAAGTACTCCATTCTCAAACCTCTGACCACATCTCCTCTGCTATGAATCCCCCTCTGCTTCTGTCCTGCTTCCACAACAGCTGCTCTACGTTCTGTTCCTTCAGTTGACACGATAGGCCCATGCAGGTTAAACTCAATGGAGAAATTATGCTCTCAGGTAGAAAAATTACATCAGAAGCAAATAAACTAATGAATTTAATTAACAAATTCAGTACCAGAAGCTCCTGATCATTTTGGATGCCGAATTTGCACTTCTTAGTGCAACAAAAGCCTAAAACCAGTGGCCATAAGGCCTGCACCACACATCACAGAATGCAGAATTTAGGTCTGGCCATCAGCAGTTTTAAATGATGCATCAAGCTCACAGAGAAGAAGTGCACTTGATGCATTACATTGGATCATCTGCACTTTTCCCATCGCTTGGGATGAAGGCTGTCCTGAGCACCAAGAGCACCAAGAGCACCAAGGTACTCAGGGACTGTCTGAGACCCTCCTGATTCTGTTTCTCATGTTCTCACAGCTCTGAGGTGAAGCCTCCCAGACCATCCAAAAGCTTCAATATGCCTGCCAATATATTGGGATATTCAAGTGCACACCCTCACTGCTGCTGCTCTTTCATTCCATTGCTCCAAACCAGACACTTTGTCTCTTAAAAGACAAAGGTCTCCTTATTCTTTTTTTTGCAACTTCATTCTACAGCAAAAGTTACCACACTTCCCTCCCAGATTTTAGTCACTAGTGGCCTCTGCTGGACATCTCTGCTATTTCAAACAACAAACTTGAGTTTAAAAACTAAACTGATGTATGTGTCTGCATTTTTTATTTCCTGTTGGTTGTTTTTTACAAGGCTTGGTTGCTTTCTGTTGGTCAGACAAGTGTCCATCTTTGTAAAGACAAGGCCACACCTGCTGTAAACTGGAAGGTTCTAATTAGAAATTTCAAGCTCCAGAAAGCATTCACCCACATGTCTGTAGCCAGATTTGGCAAGGATGGATGGACTCCACAGTACAACAAACAAACAAGAATGTATTAAATCATTTTTCAGAAAATTAAACAAGCTGAGCTGAACTAATTTCATAGTGCACAATCTAAATGTCTGCCTGGGAAGGCACCCAGAAAGTTACTGCCCTTTCAACTTGATTTCAAGCTAAATCTTAAGTATAGAGAAATAAGAAACAATAGAAAAAAATAATGTTTTTTAAAAGCTGGAGGAAGCCATCCTAACTTTCAAACTCAAAGGCTCAATGGCAGAGGAAATTCCTCATTTCAGCAGAAGCCACTGGACTCTGCTAGAAAGGAGAAACAGGGTAACGCCAACTTTACTGATGGAGTTACTCACCCCAGGGATTTCCAGCAATCCAGAGATGAGGAGAGGCAGTTTCAGGGCAGCCACGCTCCCAGTCACACCCACCAGGACATGGAATTTTTCCTGTGGCACAGATGAACTCGTTTGTGCAAGTGAGAAGGGCTCCATGGTCCAGCCAAGCTCTACGAGCATAGAGAAATCAAGACATGTCAGTAATGAGAAGCACAGCAGAGTTCCACCAACACACACCCAAAGGCACAGGACTAAGCCTGGACTGTACAGAATCTGAAGAGACTCCGTGTGATGCTGAACATTCAGGCCCTGATCCACCAAGATTTAAGCATCAGCACACCTCAAAGCACAGGAATTGCCAATTCCTCCCATTTCCTTCAAGCACAATTTCCTCTAGGATGCTGGTAAACAGAATGCTACAGACTACAAAGGCTCAGTTTTGGTAGCTGTTAGCTTGACAAAGAAACAGAGAGACTCTCTCACATGTTGGACATGGGATGGAATTAACAATAACTGTACCTTTCACACTGATTAAAGGCAAGATATGCAGTAGAGCAGTGCTGTCTCCACACTCTGGTAAATAATAAATGCAGGGACACATTTCAGTAAGTAAAAATTTGGGGCTTCTCAGGCAAGTATCACTGGATCCCAATTCACTATATCACTGTGTATTTACAGCAGCACCAAGTTTTACTCTTTCAGAAGCAAGAAAAAAAGATCAAAACAGTGAATAAAACATAGAACAGAACAGCCACCAAGTGAAAACACCTCCCAAGGAATGTGAAGGTCAGAACTGCTCACCCAGCAGTGCCAGACAAAGATACTGACAAGCTGAAGTGGCTGCTTTTGAAGGTGCATAGTGAGCAGGGATGATTCACGATGGTCTTTGGTCACTCCTGAGCCACCATCATGCTGACAAATTGCCAGTGATAAATCACTCAGCATTATTCTGGCAAAGGAAAGCATCCTGCCCAGAGAAGGTGTGGATGCTCCATTCATGGAGGTGTTCAAGGCCAGGCTGCTCAGAGCCCTGGGTGACATGGCCCAGTGCTTCATTTAGTGGCTGGCAACCTGCTGCTGTGGGCATCAGAACTGGATGATCTTTGAGGCCCGTTCCAACCAATCCATTCCATGAACCTATGACTTCTCTACATAATCAATGCAAACATCTCTGTTTAAGAAGTCTCGGAGTTCACAAATAAATTCATTTCTTGAAAAGACCTGAAAACTGTACTTTAATGATGACATTACAAAGGGATTCAGTGAAATTAACTTCCTCCTTATTCACAGGAAGTTACCTGGCACTATATTGGGAAGAACAGAGGAAGGAAAAGACCTTTACACACTGAAACTATGTTTTTGCAGTAGAAACTTCCAATACCAAGGCACAGGCCTTTACTGAACTTATAACTTTCTTACAAAACAGCTGAGTAGGTTAAAATGGCAGCACAGGTTGCTTTTCACAAGAAGGATGCTGAGCAACAGGATAGAACGGAGGCTAGGGCATCCTGACCAGGGTCAGAAATAATCCAAAGGGTTTGAGCAATGCCCACAGTGATTAAATATGAACAATATGAACTTCTGCGAAAGAACACGCAAGTTCATTGAAAAGGGAAAGGCTGCTAAAGAAATGTAAATGTGTAATTAAATTTATGCTTGTTAGCACAGCATAATAGGTATCATAAATCAGGAATTGGGGCTTAGTAACCTTTAGATGTGCCCTGATATGGGTTTCTTTTTTCTTAAACGTGGCTTTTGTAAGCAGGGAGAGATAAGGCAAAAATACAGAGGAGGGTAAGGAAGGCCTGGCATAAGATAAAACAGGTACGACAGCTTCAAGAAATATTGCCCTCCTGTACCCATAGAAGAGTACAAAACAATCTTAAAAAACAACAGGTTGGTTATATAGAAAAATGGGTTAGCAAGTGCATTGTGTAGACTGTGAGCCTGGAGTACCTAGCCAATAGCAGAACAGGGGAGTTATTACCTGCAATGGGACAAAAAGTATTTAATGGTGTTTTGCTGATTCAGTGTGCGTTTTCTCCCTTGCCAAAAACAGCCACCAAGTGAAAACACCTCCCAAGGAATGTGAAGGTCAGAACTGCTCACCCAGCAGTGCCAGACAAAGGTACCGACAGGCTGAAGTGGCTGCTTTTGAAGGTGCATGGTGAGCAGGGATGATTCACGATGGTCTTTGGTCACTCCTGAGCCACCACCATGCTGACAAATTGCCAGTGATAAATCACTCAGCATTATTCTGGCAAAGAAAAGCAACCTGCCCAGAGAAGGTGTGGATGCTCCATTCATGGAGGTGTTCAAGGCCAGGCTGGGTGGAGCACGGGGTGAATGGATCCAGTGCCTGATTTAGTGGCTGGCAACCCTGCCCACAGCAGCAGCATCAGAACTGGATGAGGCCCATTCCAACTAAGCCCTTCTATGACTTCTCTACATAATCAATGCAAACATCTCTGTTTAAGAAGTCTCAAACTAGAAAATAAATTCATTTCTTGAAAAGACATGAAAACTGTACTTTAGTGACAGCATTACACTGAGATTCAGTGAAGTTAACTTCCTTGTTATTCATGGAAGTTACTTAGAAGTATTTTGGGAAGAATGGAGGAAGGAAGTGACATTTACACTGCCTTTACTTTAGGTGTCAGCTCGTTAACCAGATTCCATCTAGACAATCAAGCCTTTGGCCATTCCCTGAAGTCATCCAGAACTGAGTTTAATATCAGATCCTTCACAGAGCAACTGCAGGAGTTACGCAGAGCCTGACCTCACCGAGCAGCTGAGATTCGCCAGCACAAAGATCCTTGCTGACTGCATCCACCTATTAGCTGCAGTACAGCAGGGGCCACGTATCCTTCCTCCGCACTCTGCTGAGAATTAACACGTTGTGCTCAGTTCTTTGAGGCTGTAAAAAGAAAAGCAGGAAAGTCAGGAGCATGACTTCAGCTTCAGCTTCCAGCACTGCTTACCAGGAGCCATTAATAAGGGGAACAGCAAGGTGTTTCAGTGCTACAGCAATACATGCTTCCTGCACCTAATCAAAGTGAAAGCTGTCACACACTGCTCAGAGATGAGCACTTCCATACACTTCCTCCACAATTACTAAACAATTAATTAACCAGAGCATCTCTCCCATGAATTCTGGGAAATAAGATGTAACAGGCATGCAGCAGAAAGGACTGTGAGCAACAGAAGGGTCAACCCTTCCTCTTACCGAACCACAGTTCTGGGGAATGAACCGAGAACCACCGCAAAGGCAAACAGCTCGCAGGCCTCCTTCACTATTCAATCAGCTCCACAACTCTGAGAAACGCCTCTGAGGCAGAGAACGGGAAGCAGGAGTCCAGCAGGCAAAGCAGAAAGGGTTACAGTGGTGCGGGATAGGCGGGCTCTGCCCCGCGGCCTAGATGCGGCCTAGCGAGAACCCGGCCCCCACACGGTTCGCGCGTCGCTTAGCAACGGGGCGGGCAGCGAAAGGCACACTGGGAAATTGAGTTCTTCGTAGAGACGCGGGGTGTTCGCGCATGCGCGCTGCTGACGGCGGGAGGGTGGCGCTGAGGCCCGGCCTGGCCTTGCGGGCCTGCCCGGAAGTGGGATTTACGCCAATAAAGCCTGGCGGCTCAGTGGCTCGCCTCAACCACCCCCCACGCAAAGCGCGGTTGGTGGCGTGATGTGCAGCACACACGGCCCTGTTCTCCCACCCCACAGAGCAATGAGGTCACACGTCATCCCCTCAGCGCCTGCAGGGATCCCGGCTCGGGGGTCGTGCGTGAAGCATTTCTGAGAGGAAACGGCCATAAAAGCACACATGGGGTGGAAACGAAGCAGAGGAGCGAGCGGGGAGCAAGCGGGTGCTCCTTGGAGCCTGCGGCAGAGCTGGGCACTGCGTGGCAGGCAACACAGCCCCCTGCATTTCTCATGTGTGGCTTATGAGGGGCATCTTCTGACGGCTGGGGAAGGAGAGACAGCAAGGGGCTCACAGAATCACAGAATGGCCAGGGTTGGAAGGGACCTCAAGGATCACAAATCTCCAACCCCCTGCCACATGCAGGGCCACCAACCCCCACATTTCATAGCAGCCCAGGCTGCCCAGGGCTCCATCCAACCTGGCCTTGAACACCTCCAGGGATGGACGGGGCATCCACAGCCTCTCTGGGCAGCTGTTCCAGCACCTCCCACTCTCATAGTAAAGAACTTCTCCCCGACATCCAACCTCAATCTTCCCTCCCTCAACTTCAAACCATTTCCCGTTGTCTTGCTGTTATCTGCCCTTCCAAAGAGTTGATTCCCCTCCTGTTTGTAGGCTCCCTTTAGGTACTGAAGGCTGCACTGAGGTCACCCCGCAGCCTTCTTTTCTCCAGGCTTAACAAGCCCAGCTCTCTCAGCCTATCTTCACAGGGGAGGTGCTCCAGTCCTCTCATCATCTTCGTGGCTCTCCTCTGGACCCTTTCCAACAGCTCTCTGTCAACCCCATAACAGGGCTGCTGATGGGACAGAATGGCTGCAGGCAGTGAGTGGGATCCTGCCCAGCTCCACAGGTTCAGTGTTTGGGCAGTGAGCATCACGCTCGCACAGAGGACACAGCAGAGAGCAGGGTTAGGTGCTGAAGCAATGTCTGTTAGTTACAGCTCGTTACAGTTATTGTTTATGCAGCTTAATAGAAGGTGAAGTCACTTCATTCATCATTTTGCAGACATGGATGACAGAGCACGTGATTTGGCAGAGTAAGTTTTAGGCTAGCTAGAAATGAATTGCACAATATTTAAACCTGATTAAGTACATAATAGGCTCAGCAAAGGATTACTTTTCTCCTTACAGTTTATACATATATATACACACACATACACACAGACAGGCATTTCATCATTAGCTGCATTTTAGTCTTGTCAAGAGACAACTGCCTACTGCCAAACGGCTGAAGCGATATCCTTAGCAAGGAAACTATTCTTGGTGTGCTTGGCTGGGAAAAAAAAAACAAATAAATTCAAGTTTGGTGCAATTCCCATGTGCAAGTTTCACATCCTGGCACTGCTGCACAGATGCCAGCATCTTTGCTGTGACACCTGTGGGGCAGGTGGAACGGGAGCAGAGAGGCTGCGTTCCCTTTGGGCTGCTTTTCTATGACTTAGAGGAAAAACGGCCTGTTTAAAGTGCATGTAGAGTCTGAAAAGCATCTCTGAGCAGGAGCTTTCCCTCCTCCTGCCCTGCGCTGCCCATCTGCTCCCATTTACAAATGGAACTCTGCTGCCTTCTACTAACCTGCAAGACCCTTGCTGGAAGCCCAGCCTCCCCAAAGTGGGCAAGATTTTGGGGCTGGTGGACCAGGAGACCTCATCCTTGCACGCGAGCTCAATGGAGGTGTGCAGCTAGGCTTCTCCACATTTTATAGGAGCGGGAGCAAGAAGGAATTACTCCCACCAGCCCAGAGCTTCCACAAGGAGCTGCAAGCTAGCATGTGCCCCAAAAACTAACAGGGACACATCTCAGGCTTGCTGTTTCCAGAACCAGTGGGGTTAATTGCACAAGATTTGACCAAGAATAGGTCCTGCAAGAAATACTCCGCCAGTTTTAGAGTTTCAAAACAGAAGCCTTTAGAAAACAGGTTCAGGATGCAAAGTCACACCCCACGGGGAAAACCTGTCCTGACTTCCCTACACACACACACACACACACACAGCGTGCCACAGCTCTCATCCACAGCCACGCCAAAATAATACTGCAAAATGTAAACTACGCATTTACAACACCACGCACTGAGAGAAGGTGGAGATCCTGAGCCAGGGGGTGGGTTAGGAATCTCTTGGCTTCCAGCATGTCAACAGCAGGACTGAAGGTTTTTTCCTCCTCTCTTTCTTTCTTTCTTTCTTTCTTTCTTTCTTTCTTTCT